ATATTTAAAAACCGTAAAATTGAAGAGGACAAAAATTGAGAAATCGTATCATTGAAACATCGTAAGATTGAGAAATCGAAAAATAAAAAAATCCAGAAATCGAAAATTTAAGGAATTGAGGAATCGTGAAAGCCCAAAATTGAAATATTGAAAAACTGAGACATTTAAAGTTGAGAAATCGAGAAATCGACAAGCCGAAAAATCCCAATAGCGTATTTAGGTATAAATCACAAGGTCAGGACTATTCTACTTTTTAAAATTTAAATACATAACATTATAAATTAGAAAATGTTGATTTTTTTTTCCAAAAATCTCGACGTCTAAGGTGAAAACTCGACACGGATGCATAAACCGTAAACGGGGCCAAAGTACAATTTTACTATTGTAAAATTTGGAGATTGCGTCATTTCATTGTTCATTGTTCGAGACAAATTTTGGAGGGTGTAATTTGATAATACAATTTGAAATGTAAATTTTGTCATTCGGGCACATTATGTATTAAATGGTTAAGATGTTCAAGAACTTTGTTCACTTATTCGTTGTAAAGTCCAATGGTCGAAATGGGTTAGTTCTTCGTAGTGGATGTATTGTATCACATCAACTCTAACGAATATCGGTTTATAGATAAAACGCTTAAAGCCGATATTGGCCTGAGTGAGCTTTGGTCTGTAGATCAAACAAGTTCTCAGGCGACGAAAAATTGCATGTGGAGGGAGACTTCGGATTACAAATCGTGCCAAGAAAGACATATTTGGGAGAGATGGATTTTCAGGTGCTTGACTAGCGGTAATTTTAAATTGTTTGCTGTCGTTCGCGAAGTGAAGAACACAATTTCATTAAAATGATAATTATAAAATTATCATAATCACTATTGGTGTTAATTAACACAAAATGGCGCGCAAGTTATCAGTTGATTTCGTTAATAAATTCATAGAAACCTATAAGGGATTTTTTCATGCCTTAGAAAATTAAAAAGTAAAAAATACAATAACAAAAATTTTAAAATGCGGTTTACGAAAAATTAGTTGACCTGTGCAAAGAATAAAATTTTGGAAACGCTGACAAATATGACATCTTAAAAAAAATAGCACTTGAAGAAGTGCCTTCGGCGTAGTATTTTTGATGCTGGCGTGAACAAAATACTCTGTGTGCAAAAAGTTTTAACTGTGCAGATCTAGCCGAAAATCCGAAAACCAAATCGCTGTGTGTAGGGCCAGCATAACGGAAGTAATAAATCATCCCATCGGTTGAAGAACGTTGGGTCGGTGCACTGATGTCGGTGTTATGTCCCGAGAGGTGCCCAATACACCCAATAAAATGGAACAGACAAAATAAAGCTTCAAACATGATTATTTTTATACTAAAATTCTGAAGTTTATAAAGTGCACATTTTATTTATTTATTTATTTATTTATTTTATCTTGTTTTCGAACTATAATAAACATTTCAAACAATGTCTGTAACTTATTTTAATGTAAATAATATTGATGTGGTTAACAAAATCAGATGTAATATTAGTGTGATTTTGACCTTATTCTAGATTTTATTACAGCAGAACGGCGTATCCTTTTTAAATTTTAGAAGTTACGGAAACTAGTTCAAGAAACAATTAGTTATCTCGGATTTTTGGAACAAAATCTACCAAAATGTCCGATAACAGCAATTGTTTTTCATAGAAACAAACAGTCTTCAAAGCAGCCTTTAACAACTCGATATTACAAACATGCCTCTTAAGTTGTTTATGCGTTTTTTCTCTCTTGTAATTCTTTGTAATGTTAACGCCGAAAGTTTATGTCATTCTGTTATTTACTTTGAACATATATTTTCATTTTGTGTTAATATTTTTGTAACACCACGAATCTAAATTTTACTTAAAATCTTATTTTACTTTAATCTTGTAAAACTAAACAATTATACCAGTTTAAAAACCCTTGGAAAGTTTCTGTCAGTCCAGCCCCGTAGCTACGGGGGGGCAAGAGGGGGCTGCGCCCCCCCTAGCAGTTGTGGTTGCCCCCCCTGGAAGACTTATACATTATAAATTTCAAATTAGTAATAAAATTTCAATATAATGCCGATTGCCGAAGCATATTAACTGGCCCCACCCGCCCCCCCTTTATTTTCTTACAGGGTATATTATTTGGCAATATCACCCTACCGTTGATGTTGACCGTATAAAAAAATGAACATGTCACATTTTATTCCATAGCCTACTATGTACTTGAGAAAAGTCAAAAATATTATATGGATTTTCTAAAAATTGAGCTTTTATTGAAATGGACAAAAAATCGACAAAAAATTCTGAGATGTAGATCTCGATGAGCTTAATCAAAAAACATAAGGTCTTGATGGTCCCAGACCAAGATTTTTCAAAAATTCGGTTTCAAAGTAGACATTTCAAAATTTCTCAAAAATTACATTTCTTTTGGCGGCTCTGGAAAAATTGTACGAATTTTCGAAAAAATAAAAACAAAAAAAAACATTTGGAGATCGAAATCAATAAAAAGATTCCTTCTGCTAGTTTTCGAAAATGCGTCGGAAAAGTCAAATTTTTTTTATAGATTTTCAAAAATTGAGCTTTTGTTGAAATTGGCTAAAAATCTACAAAAAATTCTGAGATGTAGATCTCGACCAGTTTAGTCAAAAAAAAAGGTCCCAGACGAAGATTTTCCGAAATATTCGGTTTCCAAGTCGACTTTTTAAAATTTCTAAAAAATTATACTCCTGTTTATTTTGACGATTCTAGAAAAATTTTACAAATTTTCTATCAAATAAAACCAAAAACAACATCTGAAGATTGAAATAAATAAATGAATGACTTTTGGTAATTTTTGGAAATGTTCAAGAAAAGTCAAAATTTATTTAGTTTTCAAAAACTGAGCTTTTGTTAGAGTTGACAAAAAATTCTGAAATATAGATCTCGATGAGCTTAATGGAAAAACATGTTCATGCTCCCGGAACAAAATTTACGAAATATTGGGTTTGTACCTAAAATTTCTAAAAAATCTCAAAAGTTACTTTAAAAAAAGCTATTTCTTTATGCGATTGTGGAAAAATTCGACGAAATATCAAAAAAATATAACCAAAAATAACATCTTGAGATCGAAATCAATAAAGAGATCCCTTTTGCTAATTTTCGAAGATGCTTGGGAAAAATGTATATGGATTTTCAAAAATTGAGCTTTTGTTGAAATTAACAAAAAATCAACAAAAAATTCCGAGATGTAGATCTCGATGAGCTTAATCAAAAAACATAAGGTCTTGATGGTCCCAGACCAAGATTTTCAAAAAATTCGGTTTCAAAGTCGACATTTCAAAATTTCTCAAAAATTACATTTCTTTTGGCGGCTCTGGAAAAATTGTACAAATTTCGAGAAAATAAAACCAAAAACAACATCTGGAGATCGAAATCGATAAAGAGATCCCTTTTGCTAATTTTCGAAAACGCTTGGGAAAAGTCAAAAACATTTTATGGATTTTCAAAAATTTAGCTTTTGTTGAAGTTGACTAAAAATCCACAAAAAAATCTGAAATGTTGATCTCGACGAGCTCAATCAAAAAACACAAGGTTTAGATGGTCCCAGATCAAGATATTCGAAACATTCGGTTTCAAAGTTCAAAAATTACATTTCGTTTGGCGATTGCTGAAAAATTTTCCGACTTTTCAACCAAATAAAACCAAAAACAACATCTGGAGATCGAAATCAATAAAGGAATCCCTTTCGGTAATTTTTGAAAATGCCTGGGAAAAGTCAAAAATTTTATATGGGTTTTCAAAAATTGAACTTTCGTAAAAGTTGACAAAAAATTCTGAAATATAGATTTCGACGAGCTTAAAAAAACATGACAGGATCAAGGTTCCGGATCAAAATTTTCGAATACTCGGTTTCGAGCTGGAATTTTCAAAATTTCTCAAAAATTGCCATATTTCTTCCGTCGATTCTGGAAAAATTGTAAGAATTTTCAAAAAAATTGAATCCAAAACGATTTTTGGGAATCGAGATGAACAAAGGAATTCTTTTGGTAATTTTCGAAAATGCTTGGGAAAAGTCAAAAATTTTATATGGGTTTCCAAAATTTGAGCTTTTGTTAAAGTTGACAAAAAATTCTGAAATACAGATCTCGACGAGTTTAAAAAAAACATGACGAGTTCATGGTTCCGTACCAAAATTTTCGAAATATTTGGTTTCGAAGTCGGATTTTTAAAATATGTACTAAACATGCAAAAAAATGAACTCAAACAAATTGGATGTTACCTATATGGCCACTACACAAATTTTTGGATGCAGTACAGCTGTTTGTGAATCTACATTCTCTGTTTTAACCAGCATTTTAACCAAGTACCGTACTAATTTTTTGGACTTCGACAGGTTTTTACGAAAATTTAGCGTAAAAAATCGACGTTTCCAATTATTTTAATGTTCTTTCAAATATAAAAACTCAGAAAAAATAAAATAGTTATCTGAGTGTATTATTAAAATATAAATATTTACATGAAGCCCCCTCTGTCGACAAACTTGCCCCCCCCCTGAATAAGTTTTCTAGCTACGGGGCGGGGCTGTGTCAGTCTTCAGATATAGTCAAATAAAAATATGCGTCAAATTCATTTAAATTCAATTATTTCTTATCACGTTACAACGCGTTGCTTCATATTTTTTATGTCAAGTATATTTTCATATTTTGTACATATATGTTTATACACATTACTGTTTACGGAACAATGTTAATTATGGATTTATGGATAACTCCTCGTATAAGAGCAGAGTAAAGGGTGTTTGCCTTTGTTAATGTTTGATGGCGCCATCTGACTTCTAGTAAAATAAACTTAATACGTTGACTCACTGTAGTGAATATGCGCGTTGACGAAAAATTAGTCCTAAAGCTCACTATTTAGGTGAAGTAAAATTTGTATTAGGTTGTCCAACTATAATATACTTAAACAACGGTACTACGTATTATTATGTCGCCAAGGTCAATAATTTTCGATGTTGCATTTGTTCCAGACCTACTTGTACAGCTCGGTGCTTTCCCTAGCGGCCATCTCCGTTTTTCTTCGGATGGGTTTCCTCCTCAAGCTCTGCCTGATGGTGGCGTCTGTGATAATACATATCATTCTCTATAGGTACATGGACTTGTTTAACGACCCCCACTACGACAAGTACGTACCCTTCACTGTCTTTTTTCGTCTACCTTGACCCCACTCTTGCACCAGATTCTCCGCTATACCCCTCGAGGTCAAAAGCGCCCTGGTCCTCACCGTCGTCGTCATCTTCTTCCACATCCTGGACCGCCAAATCGAGTTCACCTCCCGGACCGACTACCTCTGGAAGGCCAAGCTCAAAGTCGAGCAAGAAGAAGTGGAGACGATGAGAGGGATCAACAAGATCCTCCTGGAGAACATCCTCCCGGCCCACGTGGCTGAGCACTTCTTGGCCTCCAGAGACACCCAGGAGCTCTACCACGAGCGGTACTCGTGCATAGCTGTGATGTTCGCCTCGATACCCAACTACAAGGAGTTCTACGACGAAAGCGACGTCAACAAGCAGGGGCTGGAGTGTCTGCGGTTGCTCAACGAGATCATCTGCGAGTTCGATAAAGTAACGGGTCGAGGTATCGGGGTGGATGTCTGACTGAGGGTTGTTGTTTCAGCTGTTGCTCAAGCCGAAGTTTAGCTGCATCGAGAAGATCAAGACGATCGGGAGCACTTACATGCTGGCGTCGGGGCTGAGGCCGGGGGAGGAGGAGAATAGCACGGTGGGTGGGGCGGGGATTGGGGAGCTTTGCTGATGCTTTTTTGTGCTGGGGGAGGGGCGGAGGGGGGTTAGGTGGAGTTTTAGGGGCGTGTGTTAATTTCCGTAGCTGTCGAGACCAATCACGGGAAAGCATAAAGGAGTCAAAGTCAAACTGGTGTATACTCGAATATTGACTTTTCTGATTTGTGCGAGTTTTCCATTTTTAAATTTTTAAATTTTTGATTTTTAAATTTTTCAGCTTCACGATTTTCTAATTTTTCAATTGCAAAATTGAAAATTGCATAATTGTAAATTTGAAAAACCAAAAAATTCAAAAATAGCGAAATCGAAAAGATGGAAATCAACAAATTGGAAAAATAAAAAATCGAATAATGAAAAACTTGAAAAAATGAAAATCAAAAATTGTGAAAATTTAAAAATCGAAGAGAAATCGAATAATTGAAAATCGGATAATTGTAAAGTCGTTAAAAAACGAAAAATTGAAAATTGAAAACTCGAGAAATTTTAAAACGGAAAACCTCAAAACTCGAAAACTAAACATCGAAAAAAATTTACTATAAACTGAAAAACAAAAATTAAAATTTTGAAAATTTAATGATTTTGAAACCGAAAAATTGCATAATTGTAAAATCGAACGGTCGAGAAATCGAAAAACTGAAAAATAGAGACATTGGAAAATTGTGAAATCGAAAAACTGGAAAAACGATAGATTTTAAAACGGGAAACCTCAGAAATCAAAATTTATTAAAAATTGAAAAACCAAACAATTTCGTGAATCAAAAAAAAAAGGAAAAACTGAATAATCATAAACTCGAGAAATCAAAAAAAAATTCGAAAACTACTACTAATTGTAAAATCGAAAAGTTAAAAAATAGGAACATTGAAAAATCCAGAAATTTGAAATTAGATCAATGAAAAATCGAAAACAAAAATGAACCAACGAAAAATTGGAAAATAGGATAACTAAAAAATCAAAAATGAAAATCTTGAAAAATCAACATTTCGATAAATAACAAAATTGAGAAATCTTTGAAATAATGGATAAATTCAAAAATCGAACATTGTAAAATCTAAAAATTGAATAACCGAAAAATCGAGAGTTAAGAAATCCAAAAATTCAAAAATTGAGAAATTGGATAATCGTGAAATCGAAAAATTGAAAAAACCAAAAAGTTTAATTGAACCCGAAAACCCCAAAATTCGGAAACTAAAGAATGGAATAATTTACTATAGATCGAAATTTTTGAAAATAAAAAAAAATCGTGAATCAAAAAAAAGAAAAACCGGAATCGTAAATCAAAATTTAGAAAATATGAAAATTTTGAAATCGAAAATCTCAAAATTTGGAAACTAAAGTATCGAAAAATTTAAATTTTCAATTTATATAAAACGAAAAACTGAAAATAAAAAAATTTAGTGCATAAAAAAATTGAAAAATCAGACAATCGTAAAGTCGAAAAATAAAAAACTTGAAAAATCAAAGAACAAAATTTTGATATCGAAAAATTTGAACGTCGTAAAATTGAAAAAATGAAGATTCGAATAATTGTAGGATTGAGAAATCAAAAAAAAAATTCGGAAACTACTACTAATTGTAAAATCGAAAAGTTAGAAAATAGGAACATTGAAAAATCGAGAAAGTTGAAAATTAGATCAATGAAAAATCGAAAACAAAAATGAACCAACGAAAAATTGGAAAATAGGATAACTAAAAAATCAAAAATGAAAACCTTGAAAAATCAATATTTCGATAAATAACAAAATTGAGAAATCTTTGAAATAATGGATAAATTCAAAAATCGAACATTGTAAAATCCAAAAATTGAATAACCGAAAAATCGAGAGTTAAGAAATCCAAAAATCCAAAAATTGAGAAATTGGATAATTGTGAAATCGAAAAATTGAAAAAACCAAAAAGTTTAATTGAACCCGAAAACCCCAAAATTCGGAAACTAAAGAATGGAATAATTTACTATAGATCGAAAAATTGAAAATAAAAAAAAATTGTGAATAAAAAAAATGAAAAACCGGAATCGTAAATCAAAATTTAGAAAATATGAAAATTTTGAAATCGAAAATCTCAAAATATGGAAACTAAAGTATCGAAAAATTTAAATTTCCAATTTATATAAAACGAAAAACTGAAAATAAAAAAATTTAGTGCATAAAAAAAATTGAAAAATCAGACAATCGTAAAGTCGAAAAATAAAAAACTTGAAAAATCAAAGAACAAAATTTTGACATCGAAAAATTTGAACTTCGTAAAATTGAAAAAATGAAGATTCGCATAATTGTAGGATTGAAAAATCAAAAAAAAAAAATTCGGAAACTACTGTTAATTGTAAAATCGAAACGTTAGGAAATAGGAACATTGAAAAATCGAGAAAGTTGAAAATTAGATCAATGAAAAATCGAAAACAAAAATGAACCAACGAAAAATTGGAAAATAGGATAACTAAAAAATCAAAAATGAAAATCTTGAAAAATCAATATTTCGATAAATAACAAAATTGAGAAACCTTTGAAATAATGGATAAATTCAAAAATCGAACATTGTAAAATCGAAAAATTGAATAACCGAAAAATCGAGAGTTAAGAAATCCAAAAATCCAAAAATTGAGAAATTGGATAATCGTGAAATCGAAAAATTGAAAAAACCAAAAAGTTTAATTGAACCCGAAAACCCTAAAATTCGGAAACTAAAGAATGGAATAATTGAAAATTTACTATAGATCGAAAAATTGAAAATACAAAAATTTTGTGAATCAAAAAAATGAAAAACCGGAATCGTAAATCAAAATTTAGAAAATATGAAAATTTTGAGATCGAGCAATCGGATAATTTTAAAAACTAAAAGTTAAGAAATCGAAAAACCGAAAAATCCAGGAATTGGAAAATTATGAAATCTAAATACTGAAAAATCTAGAAATTGTAAAATTGTGAAATCGAAAAATTCAAAAAAACGAGAAATTATAAAACTAAAAAACCTCAAAAATCGAAAAATCAAACAATTTACCAAATAAAAAATTGAAAAACCGTATAATCGTAAACTTGAGAAATTAAAAATATTTTTTTTTAAATTAAAAAATTTAGAAATCTTAAATTCGGAAAATAGTAAATCAAAAAGTTGAAAAAGCAAAAAACTGAAAAATCGAAAAAACGGAAAATTTCAAAGTCGAAAACCTCAAAATTCGAAAACTAGAAATCGAAAAATTGAAAATTTATTAAAAACAGAACAATGAAACAATTTAGTGAAAAACAATTTGAAAGACCGTATAATCGGAAACTTAAAAAATTAAAAATCAAAAAAATATCGAGAAATTGGAAAAGTGTGAAATCGAAAAATTGAAAAAACGAAAAATTTTAAAACTGAAAAAGCTCAAAAATCGAAAAATCAAACAATTGAGCCAATAAAAAATTGAGAAACCGTATAATCGTAAACTTGAGAAATCAAAACTCAAAATTTTGAAAAATAAAAAATTTTGAAATCAAGAATCGAAAAATCGACAAATTGGAAAACTGTGAAATCGAAAAATTGAAAAAAGGAAAAATTTTAAAACCGAAAATCCCAAAATCGGAAACTGAAGTATCGAAAAATTTAAATTTTCAATTGATATAAAACGAAAAACTGAAAAAAAAAATTAGTGCATAAAAAAATTGAAAAATCAGAAAATCGCAAAGTCGTAAAAATAAAAAACTTGAAAAATCAAAGACCAAAATTTTGAAAATTTTTAAATATTGATATCGAAAAATTTGAACATCGTAAAATTGAAAAAGTGAAAATTCGAATAATTGTAGGATCCAAAAATTGATCAGATTTTGTAAAATCAGAAAATGAAATTCAAGGATTTACAATCCGAAAAACACAAATAAAAAATTTGAAAATTTAAAAATCTACTTTATATAAAAATTGAAAATTTCGATAATTGTAAAATCGAAAACTTGGCAATTGAAAAATTGAGAGTTAAGAAATCTAAAACTTGAAAAATCGAGAAATTGGAAAACTGTGAAATCAAAAATTGAAAAATTAAAAAAAAAATAAAACGGAAAACCAAAAAATTCAAAAATTAAACAATCGAGATATTGAAAATTTACTATTAATCGAAAAATTGGAATTAAAAAAATTTAGTGAATAGAAAAGTTGGAAAATCGGATAATCATAAAATCGAAAAATGAAAAACTTGAAAGATGAAAAATCAAAATTTTGCAAATTTAATAATTTTGAAATCGAAATATCGGATAATTGTAAAATCGAAAAGTTGAGAAATCGAAAAATTGAAAAAACCAAAAATTTTAAAACCGAAAACCTCAAAATTCGGAAACTAAATAATAGAAAAATTGAAAATTTACTACAAATTGAAAAATTGGAAATAAAAAAATTGAGTGAATCAAAAATTTGAAAAATCGAAAAATGACGAAATTGAAAAAACGAAAATCAAAATTTTGAACATTAAAAAATTTTAAAATTGAAAAATCGGATAATTCTAAAATCGGAAAGCTGAAAAATGGGGAAATCAGAAATTTATGAAATCCAAAAATTGAAAAATCAAGAAATTGGACAACTGTGAAATGGAAAAATTAAAAAAACGAAAAATCTTAAAAATCGAAAGTTAAAGAATCGAAAAATTGAAAATTTACTAAAAACCGAAAAGTGAATTAAAAAAACTGAAAAAACATTTAATCGTAAACTTGAAAAACCAAAAATAAACTTTATAAAAATTCAAAAATTTTGAAACCGAAAAATCAGATAATTGTAAAATCGACAAGTTGAGAAATCCAAACTCTAAAAATCGAGAAATTGGAAAAATATGAACTTGAAAAATTGAAAAAACGAAAAAATTCGGCAACTAAAGAATCGAAAAACTGAAAATAAAAAAATTTGGTGAAACAAAAAATTGAAAAACCGTAGAATCGTAAAATCGAAAAATGAAAAACTAAAAACTTGAAAAATGAAAACTCAAAATTTTGAAAATGAAAAAATTTTGAAATCAGAGATCCGATCATTGTAAAATCGAAAAGTTGAGAAATCGAAAAACTGAAAAATCGAGAAACTGAAAAATTATGAAATCGAAAAACTGGAAGAACAAAAAATTTTAAAATCGAAAACCTCAAAAATAAATGCTATAAACCCAAAAATTGATAAAATGAGATCAGAGAAATGAATAATCAAGTTTTGGAAATTTAAAAATTCAGAAATCGAAAAATCGTAAAGTTGAGAAATCGAAAAAAAATCGAGAAACTGAAAAATTAATGAAATTGAAAAACTGGAAGAACAAAAAATTTTAAAATCGAAAACCTCAAAAATCGGAAGCTATAAAGTCGAAAAATTGAAAATTTACTAAAAATCGAAGAATTGAAAAATCAAACAATTTAGTTAATAAAAAATTTAAAAACCGGACAATCGTAGAATCGAAAAATGAAGGACTTAAGAAATAAAAAAAAAAATTGAAAACTTAAAAATTCGGAAATCGAAAAATCGGATAATTGTAAAATCAAAAAATTGAAAATTCCGATTATAAAATCAGAAAATGAAAAACTGGAAAAATTAGAAATACAAATTTTGGATAATTGCAAAACTGGAAAACCGCGAAATTAGAAAATTGGGTTATGGATAAATCAAAACATTGCAAAACGAGAAATTTTAAATCAAAAAAATTGGAAAACTGAAAAATAAAAAAAAATTAAGAAACAAAAAATTGTAAAATTGGACAATTCAAAAATTGAAAATCTAAAAAATTTTAAAATCGAATATTTTAAAAGTAAAAATTGAAAATTAACTGAAAATCGAGAAACTTGGAGAATCGAACAATCGGAAAACTGTAAATTTGAAAAATGCAAACCTTCAAAAATCAACATTTTGAAAATAAAAAAATCGAGAAACTTGAAAATTGGACAACTGTAAAACTGTAAAATTAAAAAGCAAATCGAAAATTGAGAATTTGCAAAATTGTAAACCTTCAAAAATCAACATTTTGAAAATAAAAAATTCGAGAAACTTGAAAATTGGACAACTGTAAAACTGTAAAATTAAAAAGCAAATCGAAAATTGAGAATTTGCAAAATTGTAAAATCGAAAAATCGGATAATCGGAAAGTCGCGGAGTTCAGAAATCTAAAAATTGAAAAATCGAGAAATTGCAAAATAGAAAAAACCAAAAATTGTAAATCCTTCAAAAATCAAAAATTGAAATATTGGGTAACTGTAAAATGAAAATTTAAAATTTTAGGAATCGAAAAATCGAGAAATTGAAAAATTGGAAAATCGGATACTAGTAAAATCGAAAAGTTGTAAAATTCTGGGGTTGAAAAATCGAAAAACGACGAAGTTATAAAATTGAAAAGTGGGAAAATAATAAAATAAAAAATGGAATAGCGAATAACTGTAAAATCGAAAAATGAAAAACTTGAAAAACTAAAAGTAAAAATAACTTTTAAAACCGACAAAAATTGTAAAATGGGAAATTGAAATTAACTGAAAATCGAAAAATTGCAAAGTAGAAAAATTTAGATAATCGAAAAATTGAGAAATGAAAAACTCAAGAAAATAACAGTCAAGCTTTCTAAAATTTAAAAATCGAGAAATCGAAAAATTGGAAATTGTAACATTGATAAATCAAGAAAATATAAAATTCTAAAATTGAAAAATCCAAAAAACTGAAGAATGATGAACAAACAATGCTCTGACTACACAGTAAAAATATGAATATATAATAACACGACAAAAGCAAATAATATCGAATTTGTACTAATTTGACTTTGGCGCCGATGTGCTTCGTAGCGATTGGTCGACACAGCAGCGGAAATCAATCTATCCCGAGCTTACAAGCTCGTTGACAATCAAGTTCAAACAAATCCAAGTTTGAACCCCCCTCCAGCCGCTTCTCCCAAACTCTTTCTTTGACGCTTTGCCACACTCCACAAGACAAAACCCAAGCCGGAAACTGTGTCCACTTTGTAACGTTTACGCGCGCCGTAAACCCACCCGATAAACGAGATTTATCGCCCGATCATAATAATGTACACTTTTATGTTGTCGCTAGTTGTTCCCATAAAAGCGGAATCCGCCTTTGGTTAACAGCATCCTTTACTGCGCTTTGTTAGCAACAGGAGCTGCGTTATTTATAATTTGCGGCTTGCGCAAAACTCTGGCAAACCGTCGAATAAAAAAAAATGTTTCTGTCCCTGCCAAAACGTCCAAAATTTTCTAGGACATGTCCAAGGTAAATAAAACAAAATGACGAATGCAACGTCCACTATTCTCATCTGCAAATAAATCTAACGCGTTAATCAATTCCAGGAAGCAAGTCGGAAGGAAGAGCACATTATCGTCGCTCTGGTGGATTTTGCTGTGTCGCTGATGACGAGCCTTGATCAAATTAACAGAGACGCTTTCCAACGATTCAAACTTAGAGTGGGTACGTGATGGGTATTAGGTGGATATAATTAAAGCCGGCAAAAATGGGACGGGTGACGCAGACATGGGATGTGCGTATTGATTGGTTGTTGGTGCAACACTTCAAGAGTCTCATACCTACTTAGTTCTAGTGAAATTCTGATGACTAGTAAATAAGTTCCTAAAATCGCAGGCAAAACTTAACGACAAAGTAGATTCCTACTAATAGTCTATACTTGATTTGTTAACCTAAAATTGTCACACTGAATTGTGGCTAAATAGCTTATAATCTACGAATTTCCTGAAAATTTTGACGCAAACGACGTTTCTAACACACTGGCTCGTTAAGTTTTGTCTTCATTATGTCTTCTTTGACATAAAAAAGGTTAAAATTAGTCCCGCCCACCCACCCGTTCTCCTTTCTAGTAACTGATTTTGTTAATTCAAAATTAAGAGTTGGACGGTTATCACGGTGGAATTTAATAAAATAAAGAAAAATTAACCCCGCCCACGCGCCCTTTCTTTTTTTTTTGGCAAAGTACTGTAATAGAGTCCATTAGATAACTGGCTATTTTTTTTCATGATCCTTCGATTTTGAAAAAGTAGGTGTTTCTGGATAAACATCTTCACCAAGAATAGGATTCTTAGTAAATATTATTTCAATTTTATAAAATAAGATACTCCTTCACATTTTTACTATAGGCATCCAGATTTTTGGGAAAAAAATCATAATTTTGTAACGACATTTTGTCGAATATGGAATATGCAAAATGCAGTTATAGATTTTAGAAATACTTATATAGGGTGTTTCTTAATAAATGAGCCAATTTATTGTATTGATTAAAATCAAGGACTCGCTCAATTTTTTCGAAAATTTTGGAATACAGTACTGTTATTACTAGTATTACACTGCGTCTATTCAAATTCATACACGTGTCCTTGGAAAAAAAAATTGCATTATGTTATATACATTTTGATTTATAAGGGTTATCATAAAAAATAAAATTCCCGAAATCAAATATAATTTTTCCAGAAATCTGAATTACTTCCCTTCGACCAATTTTTTTGTATTACAATTTGTCGTTTTTCTTTTTCTTCGATTTTACAATTTTTTTATATCACATAGTTTCGTTTTTTCATTTTATTTAATTTTCAATTTTTTCCATTTTCATAATTTTTGTTTTTTAACTTCAATTCTCGACTTCTAAATACTTCATTTTTTTGTTTCTTCAATTGTTCGATGTTACAATTTTCCATCTTCTCGGTTTGATATCACAATTTTTCGTTTTTTTATTTCCTTTATTTTTTCAAAGTTCAATTTTATAACTTTTCGTTTATTTAGTTTTTCAAGTTCTTGATTTTCAATTTTTAGATTTTCAAAGTTATCGTTTTATCCCTTTTTGTTTTTGCATATTTTGTTTTCAGTTTTTCGATTTCTAATTTTTAAATTTTCAAAATTTTAATTTTTGATTTTTAAAATTTTTCGATTTTTACTAAATTTACAATTTTTTCAATTTCACAATTTTCCAATTTCTACATTTCTCACCTTTCCGATTTTCCAATTATCGGATTTTGAGATTTTATTTATCAGTTTCTTTAATTATTCAATTTTTCAGTTCTACAATTTTCCATATTTTCGATTTCTCGATTTTCAGATAATTTTCAATTTTTCGAATTTTTAATTATCCGATGTTCCAATTTTCAAGCTTTGTTTTTTTTTAGTTTTCAGTTAAGTATACGATTTTTCAATTGTCCAATTTTTCGTTTGTTCATTTTTTTTTCGATTTTTCTATTTTACAATTATTCGATTCTCATTTGTTTTTGTGTCTATATTTTAAAATTTTCAAAGTTTTATGTTTAATTTTTCCAGTTTTTTCATTTTTTGATTTTACAATTATCCGATTTTTCGATTTCTAAATTTTTTAATTTTCAAAATTTTGATTTTTGATTTCTCAAGTTTTTGTTTTCCGATGTTACGACTATGCGGTTTTTCGACTTTTTTATTCACTAAACTGTTTGATTTTTAGTTCATTTTAAATTTCTTGATTTTCATTCAGTTTTTCGTTTTTCAAATTTTCAATCTTTGATTTGATTTTTCAATTTCTATGTTTTTCAGTCTTTAAATGTTTTAATTTTGCATTTTTGGATTTCTTCTTTATATTCAATATTTCGTTTTTTCGATTTTGCACTTTCTCGACTTTTAAGGTTCTCAAATTTTTAAGTTTTCGATTTTTCAATTTTTCGTTTCTACAGTTATTCCAGTTCTTGATTTTCAAAGTTTTCGTTTTATCCCTTTTTGTTCTTTCATATTTTATTTTCAGTTTTTCGATTTCTAATTTTGAAATTTTCAAAATTTTGATTTTCAATTTTTTTAATTTTTGGGATTTTTCGATTTTATAAATTTGCATTTTTTCTTGTGATCAATTTTTCGATTTTATTTATATTTCTTTAATTATTCAATTTTACAATTTTCGGTTTTAAAATTTTTCGTTTTTCAATTTTTCGATTTTTCAATTATCCAATTTCTCTAGTTTTCATTTTTTGAATTTTTAGTTGAGTAGACGATCTTTCAATTGTGCGGTTTGACAATTTTTCGTTTATTCATTTTTTTTCGGTTTTCCAATTTTTCGATTTTACAATTATCCGAATTCTCAATTTTTTTATTTCTGAAACTTTAAGTTTCCAAAGTTTTATTTTCAATTTTTCCAGTTTTTCATTTCTGATTTTACAATCATCTGATTTTGTAATTTTCAAAAATTTTGATTTTTGATTTCTCGCGTTTTTTGTTTTTTGATTTTACGATTTTCCAGTTTTTAATTTTTTTTTTATTCACTAAATTTGATTTTTCATGTTTTCGATTTTTACTGAATTTTCAATGTCTCTATTTTCATTCAGTTTTTCGTTTTTCCAATTTTCCAAACTTTCAAACTTCGCAATTTTTGGATTTCTCATTTTTTTGATTTTGCACTTTTTCGATTTTTAAGTTTCTCAATTTTCAAGCTTCAATTTTCCGTTTCTTCATTTCTCAAGGTCTTGATCTTCAATTTTGGCATTATTATCAGTTTTCGTTTTATCCCTTGTTTTCTCATATTTTATTTTCAACTTTTCGATTTCTAATTTTTAAATTTTCAAAATTCTGATTTTTGACTTTCAAAATTTTTCGATTTTTAGTAAATTTACAATTTTTCGATTTTACAATTTTCCAGTTTTTAGATTTCTTAACTTCCTGATTTTCCAATTATCGGATTTTTTTTCGAATTTCCAATTATCGGATTTTTCAATTTTGAAGCTGTGATTACTTGAATTTTCAGATTTTTCAATTGTCCGATTTTACAATTTTTCATTTGTTCATTTTTTTTTCTACATTTTTAAATTTCCAAAATTTTGATTTTTAATTTTTCCAGTTTTTCAATTTTTGATTTCAATTTTCAAAATTTTGATTTTTGATTTCTCAAGTTTTTTGTTTTCCGATTTTACAACTATTCGGTTTTTTAACTTTTTTGTTCACTAAAGTGTTTGATTTTTCGGGTTTTCGATTTTTGGTTAATTTTCAATTTCTTGATTTTCATTCAGTTTTTCGTTTTTCAAATTTTCAATCTTTCATTTTTCAATTTCTCGGTTTTTAAGTTTTGAAATTTTTTAATTTTGTACTTTTGGATTTCTCAATTAGTCAATTTTTCAAATTCTTTATTTTCAATATTTCGTTTTTTCGATTTTGCACTTTCTCGATTTTTCAATTTTTCATTTCTACAGTTTTTCAAGTTCTTGGTTTTTAAAGTTTTGGTTTTGTCCCTTTTTATTTTTTCATATGTTATATTCAGTTTTTCGATTTTCAAAATTTTGATTTTCGATTTTTACAATTTTTGGGATTTTTCGATTTTATAATTTTGCACTTTTTCTTGTGATCAATTTTTCGATTTTAATTATGTTTCTTTAATTACCCAATTTTACAATTTTCCATATTTTTGATTTCTCGATTTTCAGTTAATTTTCAACTTTTAGGGTTTAAAGTTTTCGGTTTTAAAATTTTTCGTTCTTCACTTTTTCGATTTTTCAAGTATCCCATGTTTCAATTTCTCTAGTTTTCAATTTTTGAATTTTCAGTTAAGTTTACGATTTTTAAATTTGACATTTTTTTACAATAATCTGATTTTTCAATTTCTCGATTTTCATTCAGTTTTTCGTTTTTTTGCAATTTTGGAATTTTTAATTTTTCGAAATATTTGTTTTAATATTTCGTTTTTTTGATTTTTAAATTTCTAAATATTTTAAGCTTTCGATTTTTCAATTTTTCATTTCTTCAAATTTTCAAGTTCTTGATTTTCAATTTTTAGAATTCAAAAGTTTTGCTTTTATCCCTGTTTGCTTTTTCATATTTTATTTTTCCATTTTTTGAAAAATCGAAAAATTGAAAAAATTAAAAATCCAAAAACTTAAAATATCGGAGAAAATTGAAAAATCCAAAAACTGGAAAACTAAAAATTGAGAAACATAAAAACCGAAAAAATAAAGAATCGAAAAATTGGAAGACAAAAAAAATTGTAAAATCGAAAAATTGCAACAATAAAACACTGAAATGTTCACGAATTCAAATTCGCGAAATCTAAAAATTGGAAAAATTTAAAAGTCCAATAATTGAAAAATGCAAAAATTGCAAAATTGTAAAACAGAGGGAACGAAAAACTGAAAAATCGAAAAATACTGTTTAAATCCAGAACTTTCTTCGATTTTACAATTTTTGGATTTTCTAATTTTTCTAATCCACTATTTTTCAGTTTTTCAAATTCTAATTTTTCAATTTTAAAAATTTTGATTTTTGATTTTTACAATTATTAGATTTCTGAACTTCCCGATTTTATTTATCATTTAATTTTTTTTCCATTTTTCAATTTTCCGATTTTACAATTATCCAAGTTTTCAATTTTTTTATTTGTACATTTTAAAATTTCCAAAATTTTATTTTTAATTTTACTAGTTTTTTGTTTCTGATTTTACAATCTGATTTTCCAATTTGTTGATTTTAGAATTATCCGATTTTTACCTTTTTAATTTTTTTAATTTTCAAAAATTTTGATTTTTGGTTTCTCAAGTTTTTCGTTTTTTGGTTAATTTTCAATTTCTCGGTTTTTCAATTTTTAAATTTCTCAATTTTGGAATATTTGGTTTTCTCAATTATTCGATTTTCCAAATTCTTTATTTTCAATATTTCGTTTTTGTTTTTTTTTTATTTTTAAGTTTCTCAAATATTTAAGATTTCGATTTTTCAATTTTTCGTTTCTTCAATTTTTCAATTTTTAGATTTACAAAGTTTTGGTTTTTTCCTTTTTTGGTTTTTCATATTTTATTTTTCCATTTTTTGGTCCGAAAAGTTGAAAAATCGAAAAATTGAAAAAACGGAAAATTACAAAATCGAAAAAGTGCAAATGAAACACTGAGGAAACGAAAGATTGAAACATTGAAAAACTAAAAATCGAGAGACTTAAAAATCGAAAAGAAAATAAAGAATCGAAAAATTGGAACACCAAAAATTGTAAAATCGAAAAATTGCAACAATCAAACACCGAAAAGTGCAAGAATTCAAATTGTCGAAATAGAAAATCGAAAAAACTGAAAAAATTTAAAAATCTAATAATAGAAAAATGAAAAAATTGTACAGTCGTAAAACTGAAGGAACGAAAAACTGAAAAACCGAAAAATATTAAACCGAGAAAGTAAAATTTGAAAATATTGAAAAATTGAACAACAGAAAATCGAAAATTTTGAAAAAAAGGAAAATTAAATAATTCAAAGGTCGAAATACCGGAAATTGAATAATCGAAATTAACAAACCTAAAAATTGTAACACTGAAACATCGAAAAACTGAAAAATTAAAAAATCTAATACAGACATTTTTCACTAATCGAAAAATTGTAAAATGAAAAAACTAAAAATTAAAAAATTAAAAATTAAAGTATGAGAAACAAAACGTCGCAACTTTGAGAAATTGAAAAAAAGGAAAGTTTAAAATATTTAAAAATTGAAAAGTTTTAAATCGAAAAATCAAAAATCGAGAGACTAACTTTTATTTACATTGAATTATTATTTTCTTTTGTTTGATTTATATAATGAACACTTTTCGTATATAAATTATTTTAAAGTAAATCCAGAACTTTTTTCGATTTTACAATATTTTTATTTTTTTATTTTATTTGATTATATTTAGACTTTTCAATTTTTCTATTCCACATTTTTCAGTTTTTTGATTTTTAGTAAATTTACAGTTTTTCGATTTCACAATTTTCCAATTTCCCAATTTTTAAATTTTTCGATTTCTGAACATCCCGATTTTCCAATTATCGGATTTTTCGATTTTGTAATTTCGCTCTTTCTCTTGTGATCAATTTAGCAATTTTTCCATATTTTCGATTTTACAGTTGATCAGTTTTCCGATTTCTTGATTTTCAGTTAATTTTCAATTTTTATATTTTCAAAGGTTTCGGTTTTCAAATGTTTCGTTTTTCAATTTTTGGATTTTCAGTAAAGTATACAATTTTTTAATTGTCCGATTTTACAATTTTTCGTTTGTTCATTTTTCCCGATTTTGTACAATTATCCGAATTTTCAATTTTTTTATTTGTACATTTTTAAATGTCCCAAGTTATAGTTTTAATGTTTCCAGTTATTCATTTTCCGATTTTTCGATTTCTAAATTTTTTAATTTTCAAAATTTTGAATTCTAATTTCGTTTTTAGTTATTACGATTTTCCGGTTTATCCATTTTTTGATTCACTAAATTGTTTGATTTTTATTTAATTTTCAATTTCTCCAATTTCATTCAGTTTTTTGTTTTTCCAATTTTTCGATTTTTAAATTACTCGATTTTCTAGTTTCCCGAATTTTCAGTTGTCTAATTTTACAGATTTTCGTTTTAAAATTTTTGCGTTCTGCAACTTTTCGATTTTACAGTTATCCGACTTTTCAAATTTTCTATCTCACAATTTTTCAGTTTTTCAATCACTGGATTTTTTTTCTCTCTTTTCGATTTTATAATTACTCGAATGTTCAATTTTTTATTTCTACTGTTTTTCATTTTCTGATTTTACCTTTATTTGGTTCCTAATTTTTTTAATTTTCAAAATTTTGACTTTTATTTCTCAAGTTTTTTGTTTTTCTATTTTACGATTATCCGGTTCTTCAATTTTTTTATTACTACATTATTTGATTTTTCAAGTTTTCCTTTTTTGAATTTTCAGTTTCTTAATTCTTTAGTTTTCGATTTTTCAATACTCCAATTTATTTATTTTTTCTTTAAATAAAAGTTGCAGAGTGGAGGATTTCTCGAGTTTTCAACTGTTTCGATTTGTAACTTTTTGATTTTACAATTACTCAATTTTTTAATTTTGAATCCAAAAATTAAAAATCGTAAAACAAAATACAAACCTTGAAAAAATCAAACGTCTGTGCCGATATTAGGAATATCGTGGAGATGTAAAACGCTAATCAAAATTTATCAGATGATCCCCACCAACGTTGATATGACGTCATGTCCAACTTTTTAATAGTAAATGTTATTTAAATTTTAAAAATATCATATTCATGCATGTGATTTATGAATCTATCTTGAGTTATTAATAGTATTACGTCATCAAACTCACTAGAAACTTACTTTCACTTTAACAATCCACCCATATATTAATTTTAACTCTTAAGGGTATTCTCAAAAAATCTGATAAGTGGGATAACTGGGAAACCTTCCAGGTCTGAACCACGGTGCCGTGATCGCGGGCGTCGTGGGCGCCCAGAAGCCCCAATACGACATCTGGGGCAACACCGTGAACGTGGCGTCCCGCATGGACTCCTGCGGGATCATGGGCCGCATCCAGGTCACCGAGGAGACCGCCAAGATCCTCATGAACGCCGGCTACCCCTGCGAGTGCAGGGGCATGACGTACGTCAAGGGCAAGGGCAACCTGACCACCTACTTCGTCAAGACGCCCTTCGACGACAAGTGACACTCCTCCGGGAATCGCGACACCACAAATTCCACACATGGGAAAGATGAGACTGAGGAGACATCCCTGTAGTCGTGGTTACAGCAACACCAAGACAAGCAGTCGGGTCTTGTAACCACTTCCAACGGCACTATTTCGTGTTTTTGTAGGAGGCGCTGCCTCCGAGTCTATGTACCTGACTGATTTTTTGTACTAAGTGTCAGTGCTTTTAGAGTTACGACGTAACACCAAGCGGGTGTGCATAGTGCAGATTCTGTCAGTGGCTAAGATTTCATCTCTGAATGTCTTTAATGTGGGATAGGGTGAGTGTTTAGGTGCGAGCTGCGTCTGCGCCGCAGTATACTCAGTTTTGATTGGGCGACGTGCTCGGATCTAGATGGCGCTCTGTCGACCTCCCGACAATCCCTTCTGACTTACTTTGTTGATTCCATGTTTTTGGATGTACTGTATGTGACACTTTCGAATAAAAACGTTTTATTTTCTGTCGAGTTTGATGTTTGAGAGAAACGCACAAGTTTGAGGTTTTTATTAAAAACAAAAAATTAAATCGATCACTGGTCGAACTCTAGAAAAAGTAATAAATTAAGATCTAAGTACATAGCAAAAGTGGTGTAGCTGAGGTAAATCAACTTGCTCTTCACGAAAATTATATACAACCCATCGCTAGCAACCATGTCAAATAAATTACCTAGAAGAATATACAAGATAATCTGTACACTATTCCTAATGGTATTAAATGGTTTAATATTGCACTTTGTAATATCGCCCTCACGAAAGGCCTTATCCTATTCTTAATAAATCAAGTCGAGAAAGAAGATACAACAGCCTAAATCGTAAAACTCAAGTCTTTTTCAAGAAAAATCAACGACGCACTTTGTCCACCGGGTCCTTTCATCAAGTTCCAAAACTGGAATTTACTCTCGGCTAGAAACTATCAAAGTTGAAAACTATGTCTCAGCTATTCGTCTGATTCTGATATTGGACTTGTTGATGGGTGTTTGCGTACTCCATGCCGAAGTGTTGACTCTCCATCTGGGACTGACTGTCCGAGTTGGGCTCGATGTTGTCCGACTCGTACTTGATGCCTCTCTTAAATCTGCCGTACAGGGAGGAATAAGGCAGGTTGTAGTGTATGGCAGCTTGATTTATCGACATGTGGCCCAGCCTACAAAAGACACACTTTCATTATATCCCCCACCATTGATTAAGCACGTACAGAGACTACCCCCACAACACCAACAAAACTGTTCTTAAATCAGTGGTTGGAAGTAATTCAATTACAATTTTCCTCTAAGAAAATAAAGGTGGGTGGGCGGGGCTAGTACTTGTCAAGGTAAGACTGATTTTGGCAGACAAATTGAAAAAAAAGATAAATGAGAAATCGGAAAATTGAAAAAAGAAACAAATCTTATAAAATCGAATTCGAAATTCCCGTTTTCATTTTTTTCCAGTTTCTCGAGTTTTCAATTGTTCGATTCCACAAATTATTAAATTTCCAAGCTTTTATTTTTTATATTTCCAGTTTTTCATTTTCTGATTTTACAATTATCCGCTTTTTCAATTTTTCGATTTTACATTTTTTTTAATTGCTTAATTTTCAAAACTATGATTTTGATTTCTCAAGTTTTTCGTTTCTCGATTTTACGATTATCCTGTTTTTCAAATATTTTATTCACTAAATTGTTTTATTTTTCAAGTTTTCGATTTATGAAGTTTTCGCTTTTCCAATTTCTCTATTTTTAATTATCCGATTTTACAATTTCTCAAGTTTTCAAATGTTTCTCAGTTATGCGGTTTTTCAATTTTTTCTTCTGCAACTTTTCGATTTGTAACTTTTTAATTTTTCAATTTCCGATTTTTCAATTTTGAATCGAAAAATTAAAAATCGTGAAAATTTTTTTATATATTTTCGATTTTTGCAATTATCGGATTTCTTGTTTTTTTTGAGTTTCTTGGACTTTTAGAATTCTTAAATTCTTTGATTTTTTAGATTTTTAAATTTTTTTTGATAATTTCGATTTTTCTGTGTTAATAGATTTCCAGAATTTCTTGGGTGTCTTGCGTTTCTTGGATTTTTGGGATATTTTCCATTTTTGTTTTTTTTTTATTCCCCGGATATTTTTAAATTTTCGGATATTTCAGGGGTTTTTTGGGTATTTTCAATTTTTGGAATTATTGAATTTCTTGAGTGTTTTTGAGTTTCGCGGGTTTCTTGGAATTTTTAAAATTTGAGAACTTTCGACTTTTGGATTTCAAGAATTTCTTGGATTTCTTAAATTTTTTAGGTTTTTAAAATGTTTGGATTTTTTTGGATATTTTCGATTTTTGGAATTATTGGATCTCTTGAGTTTTTTTGAGTTTCTCAGATTTCTTGGATTTTTTAGTTTTTTTTTTGGATTTTAATGTTTTTACATTTTCTGAAACTTTTAGATTTTTGGATTTCCTGAGTTTCTTGGGTTTTTATTGATATTTCGGATTTTTTGGATGTTTAGGATTTTCTGACTTTTTTAAATTCTTTTGGGTTTTTTGGATATTTTCGATTTTTTCAAGATTCTCTAAGAAAATAAGGGTGGGTGGGCGGGGCTAGTACTTGACAAGGTAAGATTGATTTTGGCAGATGACTTATTCTTCTAAGAAAATAAAGGCTAGTGGGTAGGGCAAGCAGTTGCTAAAAATAAAAAAAAATTAAAATCAAAAAATGACAAATTGAAAAACCAGATAACTGAGAAATCAGAAAATTCTACAACTGTATAATCGGAAAATCAAAACTAGAATATCGAAAAATTGAAAAAACAAACAAATCTTATAAAATCAAATACGAAATTCCTGTTTTCATTTTTTTTCCAGTTTCTCGAGTTTTTAATTGCCTGATTTTATAAATTTTCGATTTTAACTTTTTTGTTTTGCTACCTTTCGATTCTACAAATTTTCTAATTCGCAATTTTTCAATTACTAGATTTTTAAATTTTCAAAATTTTGATTTTTTTTTTAATTGCTTATTTATCGATTTTACAATTATTCAAATTTTCAATTTTTCGATTGTTAGTAAATTTTCAATTTTTCGATTTTTGAAGTTTTCCGTTCGTTTTTCCAATTTTTCGATTTCACAATTTTCCAATTTCGGATTTTTCGATTTTACTCGTCAGTTTTTTAATTGTGCAATTTTTGATTTTACAGTTTTCCATATTTTCGATTTTTCAATTTTTCGAATTTCCGTTATTTTCAATTATTAGATTTTTAAAATTTTCAGTTTTAAAACGGTTCCTTTTTCAAGTTTTCGATTTTTCATTTATCTGATGTTCCATTTTTCGATTTTCAATTTCTGAATTTTCAGTTAAGTAAGTTATACGATTTTTGAATTGTTCGATTTTTTAATTTTTCGTATGTTCATTTTTTTTTCGATTTTTCAATTTCTTTACTTCTACATTTTTAAATTTCTAAGCTTCAATTTTTTATATTTCCAGTTTTTCATTTTCTGATTTTACAATTATCCGCTTTTTCAATTTCTGGATTTTACATTTTTTTTTTAAATTGCTTTCGGTTGTACAATATTTCGTTTTTCCAATTTCTCTATTTTTAATCATCCGATTTTCCAATTTCTCGAGTTTTCATTTGTTTTTCATTTATACGGTTTTTCAATAGCTTGATATTTAAAATTTTCTCTTCTGCAACTTTTCGATTTGTAACTTTTTGATTTTGCAAGTTCCGATTTTTCAATTTTGAATCGTGAAAAAATTTATACATATTTTCAATTTTTGCAATTATCGGATTCCTTGAGTTTTTTGAGTTTCTTCTTATAAAATCGAATTCGAAGTTCCTGTTTTCATTTTTTTTCCATTTTCAGAGTTTTTAATTGTCTGATTTTATAAATTTTCTAATTCGCAACTTTTCCATGACTAGGTTTTTAAATTTTCGAAATTTTGTTTTTTTTAATTGTTTATTTATCGATTTTACAATTAATTAAATTTTTCGATTTCACAATTTTCCAATTTCGGATTTTTCAATTTTTGTCATCAGTTTGTTTAATTGTTCAATTTTTTGATTTTACAATTTTCCATATTTTCGATTTTTCAATTTTTCGAATTTCTGTTATTTTTCAATTTTTAGATTTTTAAAATTTTCAGTTTTAAAATGTTTCCTTTTTCAATTTTTCGAGTTTTCAATTTCTGAATTTTCAGTTAAGTACTTATACGATTTTTCAATTGTTCGATTTTACAATTTTTGGTATGTTCATTTTTTTCGATTTTTCGATTTTTTGATTTCTACATTTTTAAATTTCTAAGCTTTTATTTTTTATATTTCCAGTTTTTCATTTTCTGATTTTACAAATTTTTTTAAATCACTTAATTTTCAAAACTATGATTTTGATTTCTCAAGTTTTTCGTTTTACGATTTTACGATTATCCGGTTTTTCAAACATTTTATTCACTAAATTGTTTGATTTTTCAAGTTTTCGATTTTTAATTGATTTTCAATTTTTTAATTCTTTAGTTTTCGATTTGTGAAGATTTCGGTTGTACAATCTTTCGTTTTTCCAGTTTCTCTATTTTTAATTATCCGATTTTCCAATTTCTCGAGTTTTCAATTGTTTTTCAGTTATACGGTTTTTCAATAGTTTGATTTTATATACAAATTTTCGAATTAACATTTGTTCTTCTGCAAGTTTTCGATTTGTAACTTTTTGATTTTGCAATTTCCGATTTTTCAATTTTGAGTCGAAAAATTAAAAATCGTGAAAAAATTCATATATATTTTCGATTTTTGCAATTATCGGATTCCTTGAGTTTTTTGGGTTTCTTGGATTTTTTAGAATTCTTAAATTCTTTGATTTTTTTTGATAATTTCGATTTTTCTGTGTTAATAGTTTTCCAGAATTTCTTGGGTGTCTCGCGTTTCTTTAATTTTTGGATTTTTTCGGGTTTTTTGGATACTTTCGAAGTTTTGGATTAATGGATTTCCAGAGTTTCTTGTTTTCTCAATTTGTTGGATTTTTTTGTTTTTTGGTTATTTTCAATTTTTGGAATTATTGGATTTATTGAGTGTTTTTGATTTTCGCGGGTTTCTTGAATTTTTAAAAATTTGAAAACTTTCGATTTTTGGATTTAAAGAATTTCTTGGATTTCTTAAATTTTTTGGGTTTTTAAAATGTTTGGATTTTTTTTAGATATTTTCGATTTTTGGAATTATTGGATCTCTTGAGTGTTTTTGAGTTTCTTGGACTTTTTAGAATTCTTAAATTCTTTGATTTTTTAATTTTTTTTGATAATTTCGATTTTTCTGTGTTAATAGATTTCCAGAATTTCTTGGGTGTTTCGCGTTTCTTTAATTTTTGGGATATTTTCAATTTTTGGAATTATTGGGTTTCGTGAGTGTTTTTGATTTTCGCGGGTTTCTTGGAATTTTAAAAATTTGAAAACTTTCGATTTTTGGATCTAAAGAATTTCTTGGATTTCTTAAATTCTTTGATTTTTTATTTTTTTTTTTTTTTGATAATTTCGATTTTTCTGTGTTAATCGATTTCCAGAATTTCTTGGGTGTCTAGCGATTCTTTAATTTTTGGGATATTTTCCATTTTTGTTTTTTTTGGATTCCCCGGATTTTTTTTTATTTTTGGATTTTTTCGGGTTTTTTGGATACTTTCGAAGTTTTGGATTAATCGATTTCCAGAATTTCTTGTTTTTTCAATTTTTGGAATTATTGGATTTCTCGAGTGTTTTTGACTTTCGCGGGTTTCTTGGAATTTTCAAAATTTGAAAACTTTCCATTTTTGGATTTCACGAATTTCTTGGATTTCTTAAATTTTTTGGATTTTTAAAATGTTTAGATTTTTTTTTGGATATTTTCGATTTTTGGAATTATTGGATCTCATGAGTATTTTTGAGTCTCAGATTTCTTCAATTTTTTAGTTTTTTTTTGGATTATCATGGTTTTAAGTTTTCTACAAATTTTAGAATTTTGGATTTCCTAAGTTTCTTGTTTTTTTTTTGGATATTTCGGATATTTTGGAATTTTCGGATTCCTTGGATTTTTTTGGATGTTTAGGATTTTTTGACTTTTTTTAATTCTTTTGGGCTTTTTGGATATTTTCGATTTTTGCAAGATTCTCTAAGAAAATAAGGGTGGGTGGGCGGGGGGCTAGTACTTGCCGAGTTAAGACTGATTTTGGCAGATAACCCACTCTTCTAAGGAAATAATGGGTGGGTGGGCGGGGCTCGGACTTGTCAAGATTAGACTGATTTTGGCAGATGACTTATTCTTCTAAGAAAATAAAATTGAAAAATCAGATAAATGAAAAATCGGAAAATTGTACAACTGTATAATCGGAAAATCAGAAACTAAAATATCGTAAAATTGAAAAAGAAACAAATCTTATAAAATCGAATTCGAAAATTCCTGTCAACTTTTGAATATTTCATTTGATAATTTTTTTGACAATTTTGTAGTTTTTAATTTCAATGTTTTGATTTTTCAAGTTTTAACTTCACGATTTTGGAATTTTTTTATTCTTAATTTTTCAAGTTCTCAGGTTAAAATTTTTCGTTTTCACGATTGTCACTTTCGATTTTTTATAAAAGAACAAATTTACTCGAACCGAAATTTTGAAAAATCGAAAAATCCAAAAATTGAAAATTAGAAACAAAATTTTCACATGTTTTAAAGTTACGGTAAACATGGCAATCACAACGCCGAGTAAGAGGCAATTAAAAACATACTTTTAAGTTTAAATTATCTTAATGCCTACTATGAGATTCTAACAATTTTTTCCGTCGCCCTTTACCGTGTGGTAGATTTAAGAACAGTTTTGTTGCTGTTATGGGGGTAGTCCATGCCCGGTCTCCTCTGACTCACCTCACGGCCTCCAGCGCCTCCCCCATCGCGTCCTCCGACCACGGCGTCGGGTTGGACCTCGACAGCTCGATGCCCTCCCGCTTGCACCTGCCGTACAGCGTCCCCGTGGGGATGCCGAACTCGGTGGAGGCCTTCTGCACGGACGTCTGCCCCGAGCGGATGGACTCCAGCGCCTTCTCGAGGTCCTCGGGCGTCCACGTCGTGGGGGCGGCGTTGAAGGGCGCCGCCAGCCGGATGCCTTCGCGTCGGGCTATTTTGTACAAGGTGCTGCTGGGGATACCTGTGAAAAAGGGTCGGTTGGGCTTGCGTTTGTGACGGGTGGGTGGGTTAATCGTACCGTACGCTTTGCTGGCTTTGTTCGCCGATATTGTCCCGGTTCGCAGGGCCTCGAGGGCACTGTTGAGGTTCTCTTCGGTCCAGGACTTCGTAGGGCCTTCTTTCTTTGGAGTGTCTATACCTAGTCTATGCGCACGCTGCCACAGCGTGGTGGAGGGAATACCGTAAGTTGCTGAAGCCTGGAAAGAGAGGTTTGGTGATATTTTGTACCACAGTTTGTTTTCTTTTTTAATTGTAACTAAAGTGTGCGTTATGTGCAATTTGACTATCATGTGTTTTTGATATGGCAAATAAATGCTTTAGCACTTATGTATCTGAATTATTCTAAACTACCTGTTTTCCTAAAATACTCGTAAAATCTAAAGTTAGGTCTGTTATTGTCGTAGTAAGCGCTTCTTACAGGTCACCGTAAATGGTTTATTAGGGGGCAATAATAGTTATTAACGTATCGAGGGTATTATGAAGGAATTTATGAAATCAATGTATTGATAAGCCATAAATTGGATCCACAGTATTTTATAAACTTTAAATAGGATTCATGTTTCTTGGGTTTCTTAGACTTGTTATGATTTTTAAAATTTTTATTTTTTTTTGATGATTTTAAGTTTTTTGTTATTTTCTGATTGTTAGATTTCTGGAATTATGGAATTTCTTAATTTCTTCGATTTTTCGTTTATTTTTTAATTTTTAGAATATTTTCTACTTTTAGATTACTGGATTTTGTAGATTTTCTGGATGTTTTTAGATTTACATATTTGGATTTTTTGGGGTTTTTAGATGGTTCTTTATTTATTAATTTTTTCGATTTTTATTTTTTTTTTGTTCTTAATTTTCTAGTTCCTAGGAACATATTCGATTTTTTGGATATTTGGAATTATTGGATTTCTCGAGATTTTTGAGTTTCTCAGGTTTATTGGATTTTTTAGCTTTTTCGGATTTCTTAATTTTTTTTTAATTTTTTTGAACATTTTCGATTTCTGAATTATTGGATTTCCCCAGTTTCTTGCGTTTCTAGCATTTTTTGGATTCCTTTGAGTTCTTTTGGGTTTTTTGGATATTTTCGAATTTTGGAATTATTGGATTTCTTGGACTTTTTTAGAATTCTTAAGTTCTTTGATTTTTTTTTTAATTTTTTGATAATTTCGAATTTAATTCGATTCGATTAATAGATTTCAAATCTTTTTTTTTGGGAATTATTTAATTTCTTGAGTATTTTGAGTTTCTTGGATTCACCGAATTTTTCTGAATTTTTTGTTTTTTGGAATTACTAATCTCTGGAGTCTTTTTTGTTTGCCGGGTTTCTTGGATTTTTAGTTTTTTTTTTGGAATTTTCGGATTCCTAGAATTTTTTTGAGTATCTTGGACTTTTTAGAATTCTTAAATTCTTGGATTTTTTTTAGTTTTTTTTAAATTTTCCGATTTTTTGCATTTCAAGAATTTCTAGGGTTCTGCGATTCATTTTTGGGATATTCTTCATTTTTGGATTTTTGGATTCCTTGGATTTTGTTGGATTTTTGGATTTTCTGGAATCAGATTTCTTTAGTTTTTTTTTCTTTCTCGGGTTTCTTGTATTCTTTAGTTTTTTTGGATTTCTTAAATTCCTTGATTTCTATTTTTCTTTAATTTTTTGAATATTTTCGATTTCTGGATTACTGGATTCCCGAGTTTCTTGGGTTTCTAGCATTTCTTGGATTTGTTGGATGTTTTGGATTTTTTGAAATCCTTTGGGTTTTTTGGATATTTTCAATTTGTGGAATTATTGGATTTCTTGAGTTTTTTGTTTCTTGGACATCTTAGAATTCTTAAATTCTTTGAATTTTTGTTTTTGTTTGATAATTTCCATTTTTTGGATTAATGAATATCCAGAATTTCTTGGGTTTCTTGTATTTTTGGGATATATTGGATTTCCCGAATTTTTTGGGACTTTTGGCTCTCCTGGATTTTTTGTTTTTTGGAAATTTTCGATTTTTGGATTATTGGATTTCCTGACTTTCTAGCATTTCTTGAATGTTTCAGATTTTTTGGAATTTTCGGATTCCTGGGATATTTTGAGTGTCTTGAAGTTTTTAGAATTCCTAAATTCTTTGATTTTTTTAGCATTTTTAAAATTTTTGATATTTTCGATTTTTTGGATTAATGGATTTCCAGAATTTCTAGGGCTCCTTGCGTTTCTTGCATTTGTTGTTATTTTGGATTTCTCAAATTCTTTGATTTACATTTCTTCAAATTTTTTGAAAATTTTCTGTTTTTTCAAATACTTTTTTGGTTTTTTGGAAATTTTTAATTTTTGCAATTATTGTATTTCTTGGGTTTTTGAGTTTCTTGGACTTTTTAGAATTCTTAAATCCTCTGATATATTTGGTTTTTAAAACTTTTTTGATTTCTTTTTTTTTTTTTTGATTAATGGATTTTTAAAATTTCTTGGGTTTCTTGCGTTTCGTGGATTTTTGGGATATTTTCCATTTTTGGATCTTTTTTGGATCTTTCAGATTTTCTGGGGTTTTTGGATATTTAAAATTTTTCGAAATATTGAATTTCTTGAGTTTTCTGAGTTTCTCGGATTTCTTTTTTTCAATTTTTGGGGATTTCTTAAATTCTTTGATCATTTTGGGTTTTTTAAAATTTTTGATATTTTCGATTTTTTGGATTAATGAATTTCCAGAATTCCTAGGGCTTGCGTTTCTTGCATTTGTTGTTATTTTGGATTTCTCAAATTTTTTGATTTACATTTTTTTCAAATTTTTTGAAAATTTTCGATTTTTGGATTATTGGATTTCCTGAGTTCCTTGAATTTCTAGCGTTTCTTGGATTTTTTACAAGTTGCGAATTTTTTTGGATTTTTCTGTTTTCTTGAATTTTTTTTTGGTTTTTTGGAAATTTTTGATGTTTGTAATTATTGTATTTCTTGGGTTTTTGAGTTTCTTGGACTTCTTAGAATTCTTAAATCCTTTGATATACATATTTAGTTTTTAAAATTTTTTTGATTTCTTTTTTTTTTGGATTAATGGATTTCTAAAATTTCTTGGGTTTCTTGCTTTTCGTGGATTTTTGGGATATTTTCCATTTTTGGATTTTTTTTTGGATCTTTCAGATTTTCTGGGGTTTTTGGATATTTAAAATTTTTCAAAATAGTGGATTTCTTGAGTTTTTAGAGTTTCTCGGATTTCTTTTTTTTCAATTTTTGGGGATTTCTTAATTTCTTTGATTTTCATTTTAAATTTTTTGAATATTTTCGATTTTTGGATTAATCGATTTAAAATTTTTTTTTGTCTTTTTTTGAGTATTTTAGTTTTTTAGATATCTCTGATTTTTGGGATTATTGAATTTCTATAGTAATTTGAGTTACTTGGATTCTAGAATTCTTAAGTTCCTTTTCATTTTTTAAAATTTTTTTATGGTTTCCATTTTTTGGATTAATGGATATCCAGAATTTCTTAGATTTTTGGCTCTTCTGGATTTTTTGAGTTTGACGAAATTCTCAAATTCTTCGATTTTTATTTTTTGAAAATTTTAATTTTTGGATTATTGGATTTCCTAAGTTTCTTGGGTTTCTAACAATTCTTGGATGTTTCAGATTTTTTGGAATTTTCGGATTCCTTGGATTTTTTTGAGTGTCTCGGAGTTTTTAGAATTCCTAAATTCTTTGATTTTTTAGGTTTTTTAAAATTTTTGGGATTAACAGATTTCCAGAATTTCTAGGGTTTCTTGCGTTTCTTGCATTTTCCGAAATTAGATTTTTTGAGTTTTTTGACTTGCTCGGGTTTCTTGGATTTTTTAGTTATTTTGGATTTTTCAAATTCTTTGATTTACATTTTTTCAAGTTTTTTGAAAATTTTCGATTTTTTGATTTCCTGAGTTTCTTGGGTCTCCAGAATTTCTTGGATTTTTTGCATGTTTCGGATTTTCTGTTTTTAAATTTATTAAATTTTTTGAGTTTCTTGGACTTTCTGGAATTTTTAAATCCTTTGAATTTTTTTTATTTTTAAAAATTTTTTTGATGCTTTCTTTTTTTTTGGATTAATGGATTTCTAAAATTTCTACGTTTCTTGGATTTTTTTGGATATTTTCAATTTTTCCAAATATTGTTTTTCTTGAGTTTCTCGGGTTTCATTTTTTTCAATTTTTTGGAGATTTCTTAAATTTTTTCATGTTCATTGTTTTAAATTAATATTTTCGATTTTTGGATTTCCTGGTTTCTTGAGTTCATAGTATTTCTTGGATTTTTTCATGTTTTGGATATTTTCGATTTTTGGAATTACTGGAATTTTTGGAATTCTTAAATTCTTTGTTTTTTTTTTTAATTTTTGACAATTTCGAATTTTTGGATGAATGAATTTGCAGAATTTATTAGGTTTTTTGCATTTCTTGGATTTTCTGGATATTTTCGATTTTTGGAATTATTATTAAGTAGGTTGAGTTTTTTGAATTTCTCGGGTTTCTTGGATTTTTGTTTTTTTTTTTGATATATCAAAATGATTTTAATTTTTTTAGTGTTTGGGATTTTTTGGAATTTTCAGATTCATCGATTTTTTTGAGTGTCTTAAATTCTTTTTATTTTTAATTTTTTGATACTTTCGGTTTTTTGGATTGACTAAAATGTTTGGATATCCGAAATTTCTTGAGTTTTTTGGGATTTCTTGGATTTTTGGGATATATTTTTGGATTTTTTTAATGCTTCGGATATTTTGGATTTTTTGGATGATTGTTTCTTGGATATTTTCGATTTTTGCATTATAATATTTCTTGAATTTCTTGGGTTTGTAGCATTTCTTGGATTTTTCGTATTCCTGGAGTTTTTTCCATTTCTTGTTTTTTGGGGGTTCTTAAGTTTTTTGAGTTTCTTGGATATTTTAGAGATCTTATTTTCTATGGTTTTTATAAAAAAAATTCATACTTTGATTTTTTGGATTAATGGATTTCCAGAATTTCGGGTTTCTTGCATTTATTCAATTTTTACGTTCTTTTTTGGGGACAATTTTCGTTTTTTGTTTTTTCAATTATTGGATTTTTTTAAACTTTCGCCTTCAGGAGTAAATGATGCACTCATTTCCTCGGATTTAAACAGTGAATTAACCATAAAAAATAGGATTTATGTTTCTTAGGTTACCTGAGATTTTGTTTTTTTCGATTTTTTGGATTTTCGATTTTTTAGATTTTTGGAATTATTGGATTTCTTGGATTCCTTGGAATTTTGGGATTTCTTGAATTTCTTGGAATATCTATACAACCAGCAATACACTAAACAAAAGTTGCTTTTCAGCCAATTGCGTTTTCTGACGACGTTACTATGGTAATTACTCTTAATGCCCTAGAGCCTAGGATATTATTTGGTCAATAATGCACCTCAAATTTACGCCATTATAAATCAATAATAAACCAGTAAGACTTAAAATGTACTTAGGATTTCCGTTAAGTGAAAGTCTAAGAACATCTGTTCGGGTTTTTCCTCGTGTTTTTCTAAATAAATGTCCAAGAAAATTTGTTTCAGTTTATAATTTATATTGAGAAATCGAAAAGCCAAAAATCGAAAATTCGAAAACTGGATATATGATTTTGATTTTTTTCCAAAAATCTCTATGTCGGATTCATAAACCACAAGTTTAGGACTATGTCACTTTTTAACAATGGCCTGGAGCACGAAGACAAAAAACTTAACAAGTCCAACTTACTTTTGTTAGGCTCATATTATGATTTCTTAAAGCATCTAAGGCCATATCCATGTCTTCCTGAGTCCAGGTTTTCGGACCACCCCCGTGTGAACGCGTCGGGTGGTGTATGCTCTCCGAATGCCCGTTGTTTTTTAGTGCAGGTACTTCGTTGCTACTTACATCTGAAAAAAATAAGTAACCTTAACTTCATCAAAAAAAAAAAAACAAAAAAATCGTCAACAACGAAAAAGTACTGAAACTATTTCAGGTTATGAACATGAATCGTTGGACAAAATTTTATTAAACAAAGCACACACACCAGGCGTCGTCTTAGGTCCCGCATCTTTGGCCACTTTTACCACCGACTTACTAACTACTACACACCTAATCTATTTGAAACGCTCGGCATCATGCTCATCAGTTCCGGCGTGACCATCATCTGGTGCATGCTCTGGTCGTCCTCGTGGCTGTCCATGGAGTGGTCCGGCCCCGACATGTGCGACTCCATCTCCAGCAGCGAGTCCTGGTCGTACGAGCGCAACGTCTCGAACTTGATGTCGGCCTCCTTTTTGATATCGATGAACTTGACGTTGGAGTCTGACAGGTCCGTCCGGTGGATCGTGTTGGTGAGGAGCGTCCGCGTCGGCGAGTGGTCCTGCATCTCCACGTGCCCCACCGGAATCGCGGAAGGCGCTGGAGGCTCCGGGGGGAAGTCATCTGTGTCTACTCCGAACTGAGAGAAGATCGTCTGCTGTGATAGCGGAATTCAAAGGGTTAGTGGTTAGTACCGGAGCCACCGTTAGCTGGAAATCGGAGGGAAAGAACAAAGTTTACCTGCCCGGTCATAATCCCATGACTGCTCATGTTGAGTGGTTTTATTTGTTCCGCAGGCTCGGCCCTCTTTCTTTTAGGCTCATTTAAACCCACTGGCATATCATTTTCCTCCTCCGAAGAGTTCCCGTTCAAGCTCTCATTATCGTCGTTATCTGAAGTATTGTCCAAGTGCACCTTTCTCCTCTGTCTTTTGTTATTGTCTTGTGTTTTGAAGTGCTTAGGTGACGACGGTTTTCTGACTTTGGAGTAGGCTTTGGCGATGTACTGCGGGTCGTTGGGCGAGTTTTCCTTTTCGTCGGGCGGTTCACAGAGGCCTTTGATCTTCAGTTGGTCGGCCGTGCGGAGGAGTGACTGAAAGGGGACAGTGCTATTAGAGAAAATTGCCAAATACACCGCGGTGTTAAGCTAAGTTTGTAGAACGAACAATGAATAAAAGAATCAGCTGTTGCGTTGTTGATGTTGGTGGAAAGTTTGGGCGGCTGCGGTACAGTGGTGAAGCGCGTAAGGAAGAAAATAGTTCGAGTCGAAGATGAATTTTTTATGAAAGTTTGTTTCTATTGTGTGGTTTTTTGAATAATGCATGGGACACAAACCTGAGTCGTAAACATGAAACTGTAACGAGCGAATCGATAGACGAGCCGACATGAAAACGAAGATTTTTTTTAATAAACCGATATTTTATGTTGGTGTCTTGTCAGACACAGTTTGGTCAGTGTTATCATGATAGTCTTAAAATACACGCAAAAATTCAAAGTAATCGATTTGGTAGTTTTACTTGCAAAATTAAACAGGTTCGAGGAATACTGTGATATTTAATTAGTTTCTATTTTCATAAAAAAAAGAGTGATGTAACGAGATTTAAAACCATTCTTTTACCGTATACACATGCTTCAAAAATAAAGAAATTTTTACTTCATTTTTTTGGATTAATAGGTTTCCAGAATTTCTTGCATTTCTTGGATTTTTGGGATATATCGGATTCCTCGATTTTTGTTTTGATTTTGACTTTTGTGTATTTTTTTGGATATTTTTGATTTTTGGAATTTTTGGATCTCTTGAGGTTTTTGAGTTTGCCGAGTTTCTTGCATTTTTTGTTTTTTTGGATTTCTTAAATTCTCCGAATTTAATTTGTTTTTCATTTTTTGAAAATTATGGATTTCCTGAGTTTCTTGGGCTTCTAGCATTTCTTGGATGTTTCAGATTTTTTCTTTTTCTAGGATTTTTCGTTTTTTTTGAGTGTCTTGAATTTTTTTAGAATTTTTAAATTCTTTGATTTTTTAAGTTTTTAAAATTTTTTGATGTTGGCCATTTTTTGGATTAAAGCATTTCCAGAATTTCTAGAGTTTCTTGCGTTTCTTGGATTTTTAGAATATTTTTCATTTTTGGATTTTTGGATTTTCTGGAATTATTAGATTTCTTGAGTTTTTTGACTTTCTCGGGTTTCTTGAATTTTTTGTTATTTGTTGGATTTCTCAAATTCTTTGATTTACATTTTTTTTCTAATTTTTTGAAAATTTTCGTTTTTTGGATTATCACTTTTCCTGAGTTTTTTGGATTTCTAGCATTTCTTGGATTTTTTGGATGTTTTGGATTTTCTGGATTTTTTGAGGTTTGAGTTATGATTAATAGTAGGGATGTACCGACTAGTGGCCGACCAGTCGGATAAGCCGACTATTCGGCCGTTTTTCATCGTCGGCTGCAGTCGGCGACTAGTCGGCTAAACAACCGATCGGTCGGCTTTTTTTTATTAAAATTAAAATAGTATATAAAACAATTAAACCCGGTTTACAGAACCTCAATTAAATATTTAATTGCGATTTAATTTTTAACCCTGCGTTAAAGTACCATGTGACCGAATCTACGCCAATCAGAAGTCGCTAATGGCCTTGTTAAATGCGCGATCAACTTAATCTCAGTTTAAATATTGTATAAACTGGCCCTAAATTGTGTTATTCTTTATTTTTGTACTGAGTTACTAAAAAAAATTAAATGTTAAAATTATCCAAACAAATTTAACACATTTTTTGGAAAACAAAGTAACTTTAGTTATTCCTTTTATTAAAATAGAACAAATCTTTAAGGTAGTCAAAGAAATAGAAAAAAAAACACACTGTTTGTCGCATTTATAACCCGGTTTTAGCAAAGCCGAACAGTCGGCCGACTAGTCGGTTTTTACTGGCCGAACAATCGGCTAGTCGGTTAGTCGGCCAGACCTACAGTCGGTACATCTCTAATTAATAGGTTTCCAGAATTTCTTGCACTTCTTGGATATATCGAATTACTCGATTTTTTTTTCATTTTGGCTTTTGTGTATTTTTTGGATATTTTTGATTTTTGGAATTTTTGGATCTCTTGAGGTTTTTGAGTTTGCCGGGATTCTTGCATTTTTAGTTTTTTTGGATTTCTTAAATTCTCCGAATTTAATTTGTTTTTCATTTTTTGAAAATTATGGATTTCCTGAGTTTCTTGGGCTTCTAGCATTTCTTGGATGTTTAAGATTTTTTGGAATTTTCGGATTTCTCTGTTTTTTTGAGTGTCTTGGATTTTTTAGAATTTTTAAATTCTTTGATTTTTTAAGTTTTTAAAATTTTTTGATGGTGGCCATTTTTTGGATTAAAGCATTTCCACAATTTCTAGGGTTTCTTGCGTTTCTTGGATTTTTGGGATATTTTTCATTTTTGGATTTTCTGGAATTATTGTATTTTTTGAGGTTTGAGTTATGATTAATAGGTTTCCAGAATTTCTTGCACTTCCTGGATATATCGAATTCCTCGATTTTTTTTTCATTTTGGCTTTTTTGTAATTTTTTTTTGATATTTTTGATTTTTGTAATTGTTGATCTCTTGAGGTTTTTGAGGTTGCCGGGTTTCTTGCATTTTTAGTTTTTTTGGATTTCTTAAATTTTCCGAATTTAATTTGTTTTTCATTTTTTGAAAATTATGGATTTCCTGAGTTTCTTGGGCTTCTAGCATTTCTTGGATGTTTCAGATTTTTTGGAATTTTCGGATTTCTCTGTTTTTTTGAGTGTCTTGGATTTTTTAGAATTTTTAAATTCTTTGATTTTTTAAGTTTTTAAAATTTTTTGATGGTGGCCATTTTTTGGATTAAAGCATTTCCACAATTTCTAGGGTTTCTTGCGTTTCTTGGATTTTTGGGATATTTTTCATTTTTGGATTTTCTGGAATTATTAGATTTCTTGAGTTTTTTGACTTTCTAGCATTTCTTGGATTTTTTGGATGTTTTGGATTTTCTGGATTTTTTGAGTTCTTTGGATATTTTATATTTTTGGAATTATTGTATTTTTTGAGGTTTGAGTTATGATTAATAGGTTTCCAGAATTTCTTGCACTTCTTGGATATATCTAATTCCTCGATTTTTTTTTCATTTTGGCTTTTTTGTATTTTTTTTTGATATTTTTGATTTTTGTAATTGTTGATCTCTTGAGATTTTTGAGGTTGCCGGGTTTCTTGCATTTTTAGTTTTTTGGATTTCTCAAATTCTCCGAATTTATTTGTTTTTCGTTTTCTGAAAATTTCGGATTTCCTGCGTTTCTTGGGCTTCTAGCATTTCTTGGATGTTTCAAATTTTTTCTTTTTCTAGGATTTTTCGGTTTTTTGAGTGTCTTGGATTTTTTAGAATTTTTAAATTCTTTGATTTTTTAAGTTTTTAAAATTTTTTGATGTCGGCCATTTTTTGAATTAAAGGATTTTCTGGAATTATTAGATTTCTTGAGTTTTTTGACTTTCTCGGGTTTCTTGGATTTTTGTTATTTGTTGGATTTCTCAAATTTTTTGATTTACATTTTTTTCTAATTTTTTGAAAATTTTCGTTTTTTGGATTATCACTTTTCCTGAGTTTTTTGGATTTCTAGCATTTCTTGGATTTTTTGGATGTTTTGGATTTTCTGGATTTTTTGAGTTGTTTGGATATTTTAGATTTTTGGAATTATTGCATTTTTTGAGGTTTGAGTTATGATTAATAGGTTTCCAGAAATTCTTGCATTTCTTGGATATGTATATCGAATTCCTCGATTTTTTTCCATTTTGGCTTTTGTGTATTTTTTTGGATATTTTTGATTTTTGGAATTTTTGGATCTCTTGAGGTTTTTGAGTTTGCCGGGTTTCTTGCATTTTTAGTTTTTTTAGAATTTCTAGGGTTTCTTGGATTTTTGGGATATTTTTCATTTTTGGATTTTTGGATTCCTCGGATTTTTTTTGGATTTCTGGATTTTCTTGAATTAGATTTCTTGAGTTTTTTTACTTTCTCGGGTTCCTTGGATTTTTTTGTAATTTGATTTCTCAAATTCTTTGATTTACAATTTTTTTTAATTTTTTGAAAATTTTCGTTTTTTGGATTATTACTTTTCCTGAGTTTTTTGGATTTCTAGCATTTCTTGGATTTTTTGGATGTTTCAGATTTTTTTGGATATTTTTGATTTTTGCAATTATTGGATTTCTTGACGTTTTAAGTTTCTTGGACTTTCTAGATTCTTAAAGGCCTATTGTTTTATACTCTAGGGGCATCAAACTTCCAGAAAATATGTAAGTAGCCATTTCTGGAATGGATCCTATTACAGTACTTCCTTAAGTAAAGTAAGGGAAGTAAGGCGGGGCTAATTTTTTCTTTTTTTTGAGATTCTACGTATTGATAATCCACTTCTTACTTTTGAACTAAAAAACATATTAAAAAGGAAGGGGGGCTCAAAAATACAACAAAAAACCCCACTTAAAAAATCACAAAAAGTTACAAAACAACGAAAACAAAAAAACCGACTAAAAAAGGCGACTAAACATTTTTGTAGAGAATAAAATACATTGTGATACTGATTTACTATGCTGATTGTGATTACACTCTTAAAACTTTTGCAAGATTCGAAAGCTAATTTCATAGTTTCTAATTTAAATTGTAAAATGTTCCTGTACAAGAATTTTGGTTTATTTTCCAAAAATCTAGATACCTAAGGTAAAAAATAAGTATAGCCACCTACACACCATAGCACAGAAATATGTTATTAAAATTTTATAAAATAACATACTCTTACACTTGTGATTTATGAATCCGTCTTGATCTTTTATATTCGACATCCAGATTTTTTTGAAAAAAAAAAAAATCGAATTTGACAATTTTTTAATATTTCAGTTTTGCAAACGTTTTAAGGTTATCACAAGCATGGTAAATCGCTAATCAAAATGTTTTCTCCAAAAAGTAGATAACGCCATGTTAAAATTTTGTTGGATAATATTATTTTCATCGTCTTTTTCCATCTTTTTTTGTTTGTTTTTTGTTTTCTTTGTTATTGTGTTTTAACTTTTCTGCCATCTTTTTCCATGTTTTTCCGTAATATTTTTTAG